TGGATGGATGGATGGATGGATGGATGGATGGATGGATGGATGGATGGATGGATGGATGGATGGATGGATGGATGGATGGATGGATGGATGGATAAATGGACGGATGGATGGATGGATGGGTGGGTGGATAGATGGATGGATAGATTGATTGATGGATGGATGGATGGATGGATGGATGGATGGATGGATGGATGCAAGGATGGGTGGATGGATAGATAATGTTGGTTTTTTGACACATGTTTAATTTTGGTTTCATGTAATTTGAAGGTTGGAAAGGCTGGAAGCTGAGTCTAGGGCAGATTCTGACAAATTTGATGAGGTAATTTGGTAATTAGTTACACTTTAGTTTATGATATGTATGTATGTGTACAGTTTTTGTTGTGGGGAATTTGTGGGTGGATTACTTTCCCCCTTTAGATCCTGTCCCTGGAAATACTTACTTTAAGCAATTCTTATAATTTTTATTAATTCCCCAAAAATGAGGTCTAAAATACATCCAAGGGCACCAAATAACAACGCTGAGTACAGGCCTTAAACGCCAGCCTCAGAATTTACAATACGTCAGGATTATACTCTTTTCAAAGACCTTTATGTCCTTAATATATTCTACACACAAAGCTATAAAATTAAATTGTTCGCGATATGGGTGCACTTGCAGCTGGTATATGGCCAATTTAAACAAATTACGTAAATTTCAAAGCTACATAGTGTTGAATACTATACTGGTCATGCTCTATAGATGGGGTAAATCCATTGCATCGGCATTGGATCAGTCTGATAATAATAACCTCTAACTGATTTGACAGTGCACACTGCAATGTTCAGAATGGTTATTATGTAAAAGAATGCACTATTGTGTTTAATTTTCTCTGTTGGATTCTTTTATTATTTTTATACAGATCACTGACAAGTGGGGAAGTGCTATGGACCAGGAACTTCCAGAAGAGTTGTATAGGGAGCTACTGAAACAGAAGTCGCTTTGTGGGGCTGTCATTGATGAGAAAAACAGGTTAATCAGTGAACTTCAGAAGGTAAACGATGCATGCTTTAAATTCCCAGCAGCCAACGTGGCTGCACATGGCTAATGTGTTATTTGGGTCATTCTATACCAAATCACCGTTACAATGAACCTTATAAGAATTCAATGAAACCTTCACCAAGAATTTAGAGTTACAGTCCTCCTACAAACTACCTGAAGCCCACATATATATATCCAGTAGATAGCACAGTATGCACAGTATTGGACACATCACTTTTTTATAGTAGATGATCGATATAGATTATTTATTCAATTTTTAGGAAATGTACAGGAAAGACGACCACTATGTAAAACAGTTGAAGAAACAAGCAGAGGACATAGATCTATTGATGGAGCGAATTGATGAGCACATAAAGTCACTTAATCGTTCTTACAAGAATGAGTTGAATGACATAGAGGTATGGAACCATGTTTTTCTATTAAAGTTTTGTTTTAACTAGTAACGTTTTTATTTAAACTACATTTTGATAAATAGTATCATATCTTTACATTTCTCTGCTCATCATATTATATTTAATAGGGTTATATGTTGCAAAAGGTAGATACTTCACGTGGAACTGTGTATTAACAAGATACACTAGGAGTACAGTTATATTTAGGCAGGCCAACTACATAGCTTTCATCCGTACCTATTGCTTTTATAACAGAATGATCAGGAATGATCATGGTTGGATGGTTTTGATAATAGTTTGATGAATGTTTTGTTGTTCATGTTTACTGATAATTTATTTGATTCATTTGATACATAGTGCTGAATATAAAAAAAGAATAAAATTTTCGTATAAAATCTTTCATGGATAAATAGCATAACAAGAGCTTATACTAGAAAGGAATGAATGTATGGTAATATATAAATATGTGGTATATTGTATTATAGTGCTACGTGTTTATTTATGCTGTTGCAGAAAGCCTTCGAGTCTGAAAGAAGGGAATTGCTCCAAAATAGCAAAAAGAAGTTGGAGCATATGATGCAAACTAGACAAGACACCGAGGTAACAGTATCTGTTTTGTGTTGGTAGATAGGTTAATTACCTCCCAAATACACAATTAATTATTTAAGCTTGATAAGTCCAATTATTAAATTTTTCTGCAGTTTTCGACACTCGTGACATTTCAGAGGCACATACACATACGACAGGCACCCCTGTCCAAAATCCTGAATCTGCCACTAAACAGTAGACTATAGTTATGTGTTTGTTGTGTGACTGTGCAGTTAGAATACATGAAGAAACGAGACAAGTACGTGGAGGAGCACGACTTTCAGCTAGACCATCTGCGTGGAAACGACTCGGAGGAGTTTAACCAGGTCAAAATCAAGCTGGAAACAGATGTACAGGTAAGTCACTTCCATTGTGTGTGGATCTTGAAATATAACTATATGTAGATATGTTTGAGAAGTTTATTCCTATAATGCATTGTGAACATGTATTGTTGTACACAATAAAAGTATTGCATGTGAAATGTATTAAGCTATGGAGAAGTAATTATGTGTAAAACGAATTAAATCCTCAGTGTAAGTAACAAAGATATAATATCAAAACAATATTCCTTGTGTATCCCACTACAGTTACTTTTATGTACAAAATAATAACATAAAAACTGACATTCGTGTTAAATTATTTTGCAGCAATTGCTGTTATTTTCACTTGGTAATATAATTATGAAAGTTGAATTTGAACTTAATCATATTGGAATATTATATATATATAATTCACTTTAACTTTGTGTTATCCTAGATTTTAGAGCAACAGCTTCAACAGATGAAGGCAACTTATCAGTTAAACCAGGAAAAACTCGAATACAATTTCCAAGTCCTAAAGAAACGTGATGAGGAGAATACAATTACCAAGTCTCAGCAGAAGCGCAAAATAACCCGGTAAGTGCACAAGTGGTGTGTGGTAGCGCATATGTCACAGGCATTCTATTGGTGGTAATATTGGTGTAAATTATTATGTGTTAAATATTGTTGTAAAAATGTTGTTATTATGTGTGAAAATAAACAGTATTCCTCACTCCTCAGGTACTCTGTTGATTCCTGCTTACATATTCATTTTCCTCCATAAGTTATGTAAGGATAGAGAATATTGTAGTTCATGCACTAGGTCATCTTTTGATTGATTAGTTTGATTAACAAAAAATAAGACAAAACACAATATAACTGGATTTACAGATGGAATCTGTAAGTTTTTTTTACAATGTAACAGGGTAATATGCAAACAAACACAAATAATTTTGCAGTTACGATCATTTGAAATTAGTCAACTTAGCTTATTAACATTTTAAATTTGAATATAGACTTGAATTTAAACTGCATTTTACTATAATCATGCGAGAAATAATGGTAAAAATGTCTAAACGTATATATAGTTATATGAATTTCTGAATTAATAAAACATGTTATAATGCATTCTGATGTTAAGTTGCCAATGATAAATATATCCCCCAATTTAAATTACTAACAGATATACCCAGACAATCAACACACAGACACAAATTCTCAATATATCTGCTGTAACAATATAGTTACTAAAGTCATGGCATGCACTGTATATAGTTGGGTTTATGCTAAAATACATATAGTATGCATAATTCTACAGGTATAGCACTGCAGCTTTGCTCTTCATTTGCTGCTGAGACATAAATGTAATACATGACACATAAGTTATTTTCTGTTATTATTATATTATTATTATTATTTTCTGTAGTTATTATCACGTGAGTCTTTTGGCCCTAACAATACTTTTAGCTAAAGTCCATTTAACTTAACGTTCTTAAGATTCATACTGGTAGTAAAACCCAAATAAATACAAAGCTTATGCAGCACATGGCAACTATTGGCCAGAGCATCTACCAGTTCGTAACACTTTCTGGTTACATTTAATACACATGACACGTACACCCTATTTCCTGGCAATTTACCAGCAGGCAATGAGCATCCTTCATTCAATGCCAAATCTGCTGTGTGCCACAATAATGATAATTAGCGGCGTTTACACGGTCGATTAGATTCCGTATTTAGCGTTTACACGATTAAATAATTCGAGACTTGGACGGATATTCGGTGCTTATTAAATTCGGAATTAACAAATACCGCACTTATTAAGCACGGATAAGCAAGATTAGATTAGATTGCTAGAATAATATGTCGCACCAGCTAAGCTCCGAATTGTTAAATACGGAATTATCTGTTCCTGTAAACGCTCGATAAAATACGGCACTTACTAAGCCTCGAATTCACACATCCTTCGTGTAAACAGCTGGCTCGGTATAAATACCCCATCTCGATCAAATACCGGATTTCCGAGATACGGAACCTAATAACCACCGAATGCCAAGTAAAGGCATTACTTTTACTTATTTATCTTCACTGCAACATAGTAGTACAACTATATACAGTGTATATATCAACTCGCTCGCGCCCCGGACACACTATAGGCGATAATCGCTGGTGAAAATCGCCCAGTGTGTCTAGTGAATCGCCGGCGATTTTCGAGTTGAATTACCGAGTCACCCGAATCAAACGTTTGATAAAATCGGGCGATTATTTGAGTCGCGCGACTACAATCGCCTAGTGTGTCCGGGTCGGCGAATGAGTCGCCCGAATGTACAATTCATCAGCCAATCAAACGGTGCCATTTTCGATCATGTGACTATCAATCTAGGTGGCACGAATGTTTTAGTGTTGCAGAGGGAGAAAAATCGCCGATGAATCGCTCTGAAAATCGCCTAGTGTGTCCACTTAGTCGCCCGACTCGGTCGCCTGAAAAATTGCCTAGTGTGTCCCAAGCTTTACTCTTCTCGATTCTCCCCTGCGATACCTCTTTGTCCTTATCTGCCTGACTATATTTTTGTCCCCTTCTTTTTATCTCCTGTGCTATCGCTGGCTCTCTGCTCTCTGTCTCTCCCTCTCTCTTTCTTTCTGTCTCTCCTTCACTCTTTCTCCCCTTACTTTCTTTATCTTTATACTTCTATTTCGTTATTTAATTCTTTGCATTGTTTTCCACGAACAATGGTGCTAAAGATGACAACCTTTCTTACTAGCTATCAGTTGCTTGGGTTTAGTGGCGAGGAAATTAGAAGTACTCCATCTATATCTATAACATGATGTTACAGCACTCAGAGAACGGATTTCTATGAACAGTCGGCACACGGGCCAGGCCGCTGTGAACCACCTGTGCACTGTATATACCCCCCTGTTAGTAGAACCCTGTGTCCGTGCTGTTTAGATTAGATTACGTTTAGATTAGCATTCGGTTTTTTAAAGAACTTACGCCATGCGCTATCCATGGTATTACTGGTAAGGACGCCTTTTAATAGGGTAGCGAATAATTTTGCCAGGAATAGATTATATGTAACACGGCTCTTGATTGGTTACACAATGCCATAATTTATTCCAGATAAGTTTCCTTTTATGCTCATAAAAAAGTTATTATGAAGGCCGAACATATGAGTGCACGCAAAAGTACGTTTTAGCTACATACATAACTGTATCACTACCTATTTATCTATCTATCTGTCTCTATCTATCAGTTTATCTATCTATCTATCTATCTATCTATCTATCTATCTATCTATCTATCTATCTATCTATCTATCTATCTATCTATCTATCTATCTATCTATTCACGCACGTGTACGTGCACACGCGAAGACTGTAGCATTACAACGACATAGATGCATGCGTATGTGTACTGTATGGTCGAAACACGAAATATTTTGTCACAAATGACTTGACCCGGAAGAATTCGTGGCTAAGTTCGCGCATGCGCAGACTGCAACTACGAACTGGCTTATTCTAGCTCTTCTGCCAACTCCAGTTTCTCCCTTTCCTTTACCTGTTTCGCTACGCTACCCCTCGTTTACCTCCTCACCTCCTCTGTACCTTCTTTCCTCTCAGGACCCTCTACATTCTCTGACTCGTCTACTTCGTCTACCTCCTCCACCTTCTCCCCTTGTCCACCTCTTGTACCTACCTCTACTCTGCCTTCTCCGTGTCACCAAGCTCCTTGGCATCTCCCCGTTCCTTCGCCTGATCCACCTCGTCCGCTTTCACTCCTTTACCTTCTCTCATCTTTTACCTCCTCTCCATGTACCACTTTGTCCAGCATTGGTGTTAAGTAGTGGTTCGGCACTAATGTCTAGGTTGCCTCTGTATAGCTGAGATTGTTATTTGGTTACGTAGTGCTTCAGTAGTAGTGTCAGCATTACGCTTGAGTGAATCTTTTCATAGGGCCGTTTAGGGAATTTATTCGTCCTTGTCAATCAACTGGAATAACCTCGTACTATTGTGTATACATGCACTGTTGTCAGTGTTTATTTTATTAAGTTTATTACTGTTAAATTAAGTTTTGTGCTGTTTATATTATTTTGTGTTTCGTTTTTGTTGCTTTCCGTTGGTTTCTGTTGGTTTCGTTGGTTCGTTGGTTCGTTGGTTCCGTTGGTTCGTTGGTTTCCGTTTCCATAACGGAAACCTCATGTTTCCGTTATTGATGTGTGGGTATTTCTATAGCGCAAGAGGTGTATGAGTCGGTAATAAGGTTGCTCTAGAATTCTATACAGGCCTGTAGACGTGCGCGCACGTACGCACGCACGCTCACACAGACACACATATGCACGCACACACACACGCACGTACGCGCGCGCACACACGCACGCACGTACACACACACACGCACCAATCACCAAGAAGACTATACCAGCAATACGTCATTAACGTATACCTTCTGCCTATATTAACAGTGTGGTTGGATAGTGTGCTTCATTTTACAAGCTGAAATATCGGCTCGTGTTTTCTGCAACATCTTGTTTTGGTTCCATTGCAGGGAATAAAAGAGTGAAAGAAGAGTTAGAGAAGTAGTTCTAGAATTTAAAAAAATTCGGATAGGGTATTTTAGACATGTCTTCTCTGCCAACTCTGATAATGTCTATTTAATATATATAAATGCATGAGTGAATAGTTATATGCTTAAAAGTGCTCTTGCCCATGCTTTATATTTATCCTTCTTAGGCTCCAAGACGTTCTGAACAACCTGAAAAGCAAGGCTGTCAAACAAGAGAAGCAGTACAGGTAATTTTGCAGCTGCTCGGCATTATACAGTAAATTTCCTTAATTTACTTTTTTATTTTATTATTTACCTATTTTTTGATTGTCCACCTTGTGTTGCCTGGCCATACGAATGACCAGTTGTATAAATTTCAAGTGGCACTTTTCCATGTGTTGCACAGAATTCTATTTTGTAGGTATTCGTGGTTCTATTAAAAGCCTAAGGCTGATGAATATACAGGCTCTTACAGTAAAATCTATGAATAAAGCCTAGGTTGGGTATCTTTATTGTTATGTTGTTGAAATTTTTTGGTACTGCAATATCTTATATTAGTGTTAGTACATTATCCTCTTAAATCCCTTACAATAAGTAAAGTAATTTCTAGGTATTGTTTTAAGGAAAAACTGAATAAATTCAATTCCATTCAATTTTACCAACTGCTGGTGTTTATATAGGGATGAGAACAATAGCTTGACAGATGACTACAAGAGAATATCTGAGCAGCTAGAAGATTTACAAAAGAAGGGACGTCATTTCCAGGTCACAGATGCTAAGAGGTTCTATGACATCTGGTGCATGAATGAAGCCCAGGTAAGTAATCGCTAGTAAAGCCTATAGGCTTGCCCCCTCTCTATCTCTCTCTCCCTCCTTTCCTCCCTCATTTCCTCCCTCCAGTTTGCCTACTGTGCATTAAAGTTGTGCAGAAGCCAGGGTTCTGTAAGTCTTTTCCTGTAGCTAATATTCTCAGGAAAGTTTCCCCCGACCCGACACACTTGACCATCACAGCAACAAGCCAGACAGTGCTTAAGCGTGAACGGATTGTAACCCGAAAAGCACTGCAAGACAACATGCTACAGAACAGTCTACTCTCTAAATAAAGTAGTAGTTCAGTAAAGTTCGCTCTACATTCTATAAAGCAAGATTTTACACTGGTTTTAATAACATCGTAGGACCCCCTCCCCCCCATCAGTTTTAGAACCTGCTCGTCAACAAAGTGTTACTATATTAGATTGATTAGAATTTTTTATATGGCCCTATATATGTATAATAGACGGGTGGGAATTATTTTTTCACCAGAGCCTTATTGCTTAGGATATTATATGTGAATTTGCATACATAGTATTTGCCATGTCTAATTAAGATTCTGGATCTAAATTGAAATTTAGAGAGTATAAAGGATGCAAGAGGGAGAGATTTCACCAACTAATCTTTTTCTTTGACCTTGCTAAACTGTACGTTCTTTGTTTCATGTTAATTTACGACAAAGGTCAAGATGTTTGTAAAGAAAATTCTAGAAGAGGATAGGATTATTCATGAGCAGCAATTGGATGTGCAATGGCAGCCACCCGCCATGTAAGCTGCATTTTCACACATCAGGAATGTGCTCCTGATATTACTTAGTAGCATTTCTCGATCACCCCCAACCTCTCTAAAGTAAACGATGAAGTTGGGTTGTGGATTGCATGCCTGTTATTTGGAAATTGAAGATTAGAGTGGGACAGAGGTAATTTGTTCCAGGCAATTTTGAAAAATTTTAATGTGTGACTGTTGGACCGAAACTTGTGTCAGTGACAACAACAATGAAGTACAATTGAAACCACTGACCATGCAGCATGTTTTAATTTAGAAAGTTGTTTTTGAAGGCCAAATAGTTTTCCATGGTTTTGGCCAAAATTATTAAATGGAGAGCCTGTTATTATAATTTTCTATCCAATAGGCTTCTGAATCTTCTACATTACTAATTTGTGGCCAGTGCCTGGCCAGGGAATTTCTGGCAACTTTTGGCTAACATATAGTATATAGACATATTCTCTGTAGAAATTAAAACAAATTGAAGAGCACGTTAGATATAAACATAGGAATGTCAATGGATCTAAAATCTGTAGTTAATCAATATTATAAAGTACTTAACAAGAACATGTTTTTATGGTATTCATCATAGAAATTGTCATATTAGTGTATGTTTTATACCAGTTCTCTAGACAATGAAGGGCCAATCATCAGTGGCAAAGACAATCAGACATTGAATTCAGCCTCTGAAGCTGCCTCTAAGATAATGGCAGGTATGAGCATCTATTTACTAGGAAACATCTGGTCATGGTCACTAATTATAGTCACATGACCGAACCCAGGGAGTGAAACCGTTATTTTTCTTTGGTGATATATTGCTTTTATAGGTTTTCTAAGTACCCTTACATATTTTTTCTTCATAAATGCTTACTTGACGTTTTGACCTTCAAGAGGTTATACCTTGAAATGATGTAAATACTGAAGTATATATATATATATATATATATGTATATATATATATATATTTATTTTATTTTTTTTATATTTATATATTGCATTATCGTAAATACCCATTCTCATTCTTAAGGAAACATGAAGATCTTACATTTTGTTGTATAAAAGTAGAACAGAGCAGGTGTTTCGATCTTTTTCAGTCAATATAATATTTGCCAAACTTTATCTCTATACTTCTTATGGACAACTTATAGTTAGTTGAAGTTTAGAGGATTAATCGCACCATGTATGTTATCCAAAAAATCGGAAAGAAACCATTTCTGGCAAATGAATCGAATACAAGAATACTGCTCTTGCTAATCAGCTAATATGTCTGATTGAGCCGTATTAATCACTAATCACACATGCCTGAATTTATTCTAACTAAATGCGAAGAATTTTTCGCAGTGCAGTTTGAAACTCTTTCAGTTTGTAGCTGTAAACAAATATGTTTGCCATAGAGTTGCCGAATGTTGGTAGGGTCCCCCACTGATAATTCTCAGGCGTTAAGCCGCAGTATCCACATTTCAACGCGATGAAAAATGCAAGCAATGCTGGCAGCCAACACAAGAGTGACAAACCAATTGTTAGAACTAGAGCTTTAACAATTTGCATTTTCTGTTGAAAAGCTTGCACAGATACTCCAACCTGGTTAGAAATGGCATTAATAGCTCTCTGATGGTGGATTGCTGTGGTGATGATTTTCGCGTAGCAATAGGCCATGGTCAGGAATAATATCGGACCAAATATCGCAGTTATCCATAACCAGAAAATAAAATACTCCCCTCCGAAAGCCGTTGTACACTGGAAACCCGTGCTACCAGCTTTTATATATACTACCATACCTATCATTAAAATAATGAAGACTATGGCCCAAATTCCTCCAAGTACCAGCTTTACTCTCCTCTCTGGCAGGTAGAGTTCACTGTGTAGCGGATGAACGATGGCCATATAGCGCTCCGCTGTGACAGCCGTGTAAAGGAGGGCCGATGCCAGAATCGCGCACAGGTTAACGTTCTGGTGAATGGCACACCAGATGATGATGCATTTAAATGGCTTCAGTGTCAGCAGAAAGGATGCAGCGTGAGCAAACAGTACCAGTCCGACCCACAGGTCTGCCATCGCAAGATTGCTGATGAAGTAGTAGGGAACAGTGTGCAGGTTGTGTGTTTTCACGACGGTCATGATGACAAGAGAGTTTCCAATTATGATGGGTAGAGAGATGAGAAGTTGAGCGATGTTGAAACTCGGCATGGGTTCCGGCTTGTTAATTATGCATGCGTAGTCTACCCATTTGGATGAGTAGTTCTCTGACACGGTGTTATTCATCTTGCCTGTCCTTTACGGCAACGCGAGTCCTCTGTGTTAGGTGAAGAATTCCGTTGCTAACAGCGCCGATGAGCAGTCTTCTTTCGGCTTGTGTTTCCTGTTTACACCAGATAGTAATTGATAGCGTTAAAATAACGGATGGCTGGCTCGTTCCTTCAAATTTGATTAACTAATTTAGGTAATTGTATCAGCTTTCACGAGCTACACGGTCATGGATATTATCTTTCAATCTCTAACATTATTCCATTACTTTTGCAGCATGCTATATATGACAATACGAATTTCCACTGTCTAGAATGTCAGTAGTAGGCCCCTATTCACAAGGAATAATGGTAGTAACTTTTATCATCAACAATTTGTGTCAGTTGGCCATGAAAGTACAAAGATAATTCTAAACAAATCCAGGTTGAATAGACTATCGTAATTCGTTTTCTCAATATAATGTTAAAACTTATTATTTAGTAAGAAATTAGTCATAATACATAAATTCTAACATTTTTTCTAAGCCACCATTTTTGAGGTAGGAGGTCTGATTCCTAGAGGAAACGGAGATGTGCACAAGAGTACTGAAGCTTTAATAGTTGGCACAGGATTATCATTTAAAATCAGCCCCTGTGTTTTTAACCTTCATATTTCCCAATATTTCTATTATTTACCTGGACGCAATAGGTAATGCTTATAGTTTCTAAAATGCTTAACGCATATAAAATGACAATTATCTGGTAAGATCTGCTTGTTATAAAAATCCACAGACCAAATTTGAGGCAGTGTAAATTTCTAGCAATGGAAATTAGTTCAGCGATATATGCCTGGCAATAGACTATTAAATGAAGCCAACATATTTAAAAATATGCGACAGAAAAGTACATGACAAACCTTTAGCGCTGATGAGACGCCTACGTGTTGTATGTGTACGTCTCCTATGCACGTATGAAATATCACACGTTCGTTGTCGCGTGCGTCAGGTAGTGTGTAGACAACAGCCTCTGTCCGTATGCTAACACGTACTTCTTGGGTTTCTTCGTAGTTGTTTCGACGCAACAACGTGTACACGGTAAATTTCGTTAAATTGCAAGTTGCTTTTCTACACACACCCTAGCATTGTAGCAGGCTGAGTAAAACTAATGCAGCACCCAAAGCGACGTTTATCCTCTGTGTCCTAGACCAAGCAAACGTCGTCTAATTTGACCTGTGTGCTCGTTTTCATCTCTGCAGCATGCCTATTACGACATCATTATCGCTCCCGATAGCATATCTTATAGTGGCGCACATCGTTAGTGGTTGTCGTGCTACGTCTTGGCGTCTCACCGGAACGACAGCTCACGCACACCCCGAGTGTATCGCACACGTCCCTCTACTAGACATTGAAAGTTAGGCTACCACGGTGTGCCAGGAAATCATTATGAGCCTCATATATGACATTACCTGCTTGAGTGATTTTACACAAAAGTTACTAAATTTGGATGCGTGTGGCCACGAGGCTTCCTGGCACGTTACTTAATGGAGATTAAGCGAGCCGCGTTTTTAAATTAAAGTATATTGATTTCTGATGTTTTCCTAGCCGTTTCAGGCATGTACGATATTCCTTGCGTGAGAGCAAGTGTCTTAGGTAAAGTTAATACGCTCGTGGCTCATTATATGCGCCAAATTATTAGTACAAGTATAAAGTAATTTTGATGCACGCAAACACGCTCATACACTCAGTGGGTGTGTGCACGCATGCGTGCGTGCGTGCGCGTGGGCGTGTATTGATAGATAGAAAAATGGTTAGCTAGCTAGTGGATGGATGGATGGATGGATGGATATATATATATATATATAATATATATGTAATTATATATATATATATATATATATATATGGATGTATGGGTCGATGGATGTATAGATGGACGGACGGACGGACAGATAAATAGGTAGCTAAATAGATTGATTGATTGATTGATCATTGGATCAATCCAAATTAAAAACAAGTGATTTGAATAAAGTTTCTAATATCGTATATTGGTTTAAGAGGGTGCGAAATTAACATTCCTTGACTTGTAGTCATGCGGACTATTAGATTTTGTAATCTGGTAGTCTGTGAGCAATTCGTGTAGTTCAGAATACGTAATAATGAAAACGATTTTAGGTAAATTTGCTAATTGGCGGTTTAAAGTTAACACTTGCTGGAAAGATCACAATCATTTGATTTCTGAGTTTATATATCCGTGTTAGACAAAACTGACAAGACAAGACTAAGTTAAGTTGACGCTGACAGTCAGGTAGTCCACCGGAATATTTGTTGCTGCAATCTACTCATCTGTCAGTAAATCTGGTAGTTTTGAACTAAGGGGCTACAGGTAATTTCGAACCCTGGTTTAATATTTGATATAACATAACAATATAATATGATGAACTAGCTATACCCCGAATAACATATTCAGACTAGTCAGTGTCTTTGCACATGTGTTTTAGTGTTTTCTGGTTTCGTGTGTACGTGCGCACGCACGCACGCACGCACGCACGTGTACGTCTACACGCACTCACGCACGTGTACGTCTATACGCACGCACGCACGCGTACGTGCACACGCACAATGCACGCTCACGTGCACCCTCACGCACGCGCGCACGCACTCTTACGTGCACACGTACGCACTCACGCACTCTTACGTGCACACGTACGCACTCACGCACTCTTACGTGCACACGCACGGACGTGTACGTGCACACGCACGCACGCATGTGTACGTGCACACGCACGCACGCACGTGTACGTGCACACGTGTACGTGCGCACGTATGCACGCACGCACGCACGCACGTGTACGTGCACACGCACGCACGCATGTGTACGTGCACACGCACGCACGCATGTGTACGTGCACACGCACGCCACACGTGTACGTGCACACGGCCGACGGCGACGCGACGCACGTGACACGTGACGTGCACAAACGCACAGCACGCACCCACGCAACGCGACGTTGTACGTACATACGCACGCATCGGCCACGCTACGCTGTGACTTCTAACGCACGCTACGCACGTGTACGTGCACGGACGCACAACGCACGCTCACGTGCAGCCCTCACGCACTGGCGCAACGGCACTCTACGTGGCACACGTACGCACTCACGCACTCAATTACGTGCACACGTACGCACTCACCACTCTTACGTGCACACGCACGGACTGTACGTGCACACGCAGCAGCAATCGCATGTTTTTACAGTGCACATCGCACGCACCACGCATGTTATCATGCACAACGCAACGCATGGTCACGCACAGTGTACGGGCGCTACGCATCGCACGGCAATGTTCACGTGGTATGCTGCACTACGCAGCTGCACGCATGGCGCACTGACTGATACGCACCGCAACGCACGTGTACGTGCATGCAACGACACACACGCTCGCCACGCAACGGACTGAAACGTACAGCACACGCACGCACGCAGCAACGCCACAGCACAGAACGAACGAATCGTTACGTGCACAACGCACGCACGCACGCTACGAACGGTACGTGCACACGCACGTCACGTGTACGTGCACAGGTGTGTTGTCGCGGCGCGTACAACTGTAGCATTACAACGACCATAAGATGCATGCGTATCGGTGTAGCTGTTGGTGTCGAACACGACCATATTGGTTGTAGCAGATGATGACTTGACCCGCAGAATTCGTGCTAAGTTCGCCGCATGCGCAGACTGCAACACGAACTGCTTATTCTAGCTCTTCTGCCAAACGTGGCCGGCGGTCAGTGGGCGGGTGAGTTTTCTGCCCTTCCTTTACCTGTTCGCTACGCCAGGGGCCCCTCGTTTACCGATCTCAAACGCGCGTCACTCTTACCTTCTTTCTCTCAGACCTCTCTACATTCTCTGACTCGTCTACTTCGTCTCCTCCGTTCCCAGCCGGTCTCCGGGCCGTTGGTCCACCTCGTTTACCTACTCGTCTACGGCTGCCTTGGCTCCGCTGTCAACTCCGGAAAGCCCTCTGCATCCGGTCCCGTCCTGCGCTAGCCCCGTCGTCCCCCGTCGCTTCACTGGTCTTGGTACGTCCTTCTCTTCATCGCTCTACCGTCTTCTCTCGCATGTTACTTCACTTTTGTCCATTGCATTGGTGTTAAGTAAGTCGGTCTCGCATAATGTCTAGTGCCTCTGTAATAGCTGAGATTGTTATTGGCTTACGCTATGCTTCAGTAGTAATGTCAGCAATTTACGCTTGAGTGAACTCTTTATAGGGCCGTTAGGAACTTTATTCGTCCTTAGTCAATCATCTGAATAACCTCGCTACATTTGGTATTAACATGCAACTGTTGTCCAGTGTTATTTAATTAAGTTATTACCTGTTTAAATTAAGTTTTGTCTGTTATGATAATTATTTGTTTCCGTTTTTGTTGCTTCCGCTCTTGGTTCTGTGGGTTTCTGATGTTCGTTTGTCGTCGTTGTGCGTCGCGATTGGTTTCGTTGGTTTCCGTTCCAATAACGGAAAACTTCATGTTTCGGTATTGATGTGTGGTATTCCCTGAGCGCAAGAGTGTCTATTGATCGGTAAGTAAGGTGCTCCTAAATTTCTAGATTAACAGGCTGATAGACGTGCGCGCACGTACGCACGTCCTACGCTCACACAGACACACATATGCCCACGACACACAGGGGGATCGCCGGTCGCGGGGCGGGCGCGCGGGCGGGCGCACGTACGCGCGGCGGCGCACCACACGCAACGCACGTAACAGCCTGGCTGATCCCGACACACGGCACGCAACGACCAAGAGATATAGACCAGCAAATACAGCATCTAACGTAATACCTTCTGCCTATATTAACAGTGTGGGTTGATAGTGTCTCATTTTACAGAGCTGAAATAGTCGGCTCGTGTTTCTGCAACATCTTGTTGATTCCTATTGCAGGGAATAAGAAAGAGTGAAGCGAGAAGATAGAGAAGTGATTCTACCCGGAAGCTTTAAAAGAACTTCGGATAGGTACTTAGACATGTCCTTCTCTGGTGCAACTCTGATAAATCGTCTATTTAAATATATACATGCATAGTTAATAAGTTATATGTGCTTAAAAGTGCTCTTGCTCCATGCTTTAATATTTATGCCTTGCTTAGGCTCCAAGACTTCTGAACAACCTGAGAAAGCAAGGCTGTCAAACAGAAGAAGCTAGTACAGCGGGTAATTTTGCAGCTTGCTCGGGATTATAGGCAGTAACTTTTCCTTATTTACTTTTTTATTTATTATATACGCGCTTATTCGTTGATTGTCACCTGTGTTGCCCTGGGCCATCACAATGACCATTTATAAAGATTCACAGTGGCACTGTTCATGTGTTTGGCAGCGCAGAAGTTTCTTTCCTGTCAGGTATTCGGTTCTATAAAGCTAAAGGCTGATGAATAACATGCTCTTTCACAGTAACTTCTATGATAAAGTCCCCCCCCCAGCCAGGTGGGTTATCTTATTGTATCGTTGTTGAATTTTTTGAGTACTGCAATATCGTTAATATGTAACATTACCGCTCTTAAACATTACAATAGTAAAGTAAATTCTAGGTAATTGTTTTAAGGAAAAACTGAATAAATCAACTTCCATTCAATTACTAACTGCTGGTGTTATATTAGGGATGAGAACAAAGCTTACGATGACTAGAAAGAATATCTAGCAGCTAGAAGATTTATCTAAAAGCAAGGCACCGTCATTTCCAGGTCACAGAGTGCTGGCAAGGCAGGTTCCATGACATCTGTTGCACCTCGAATGAGCCCAGTAAAGTAATCGCTAGGAAAAGCCTATAGGCGTTGCCCCCTCTCTAATCTCTCCTCCCTCTTCTCCCCATTTCCCTCAGCAAGTTGCCTACCTGTCATTAAAGTGTGGCCAAAGTCGCAGGGTTCTGTAAGTCTGTTCCTGTAGTATATCTCCAGAATATTCCCGCCTGACCGACAGACTTGACCATCTGCACATGCACAGCCAGACAGTCTTAAGGCGTGAACGGATTGTAACCCGAAAAGAGCTGCAAGACAACATGCTACAGAACAGTCTACTCTTAAATAAAATATAAGTTTCATAGTTCGCTCTACATCTATAAAGCAAGATATAACTGGTTTTAATAACATCGTAGGACCCCCTCCCCCGCATCCAGTTTTAGAACCTGCTCGTCAACAAATGTTACTATATTGATTGATTATAATTTTTCTATGGCCCTATACTAATGTATATTATAAGACGGTGGGTAATTATTTTTTCACGACAGAGCTTAATTGCTCTAGATTATATGTGAAATTTGCATACACTAGTATTTGCAACTGTCTAATTTAAGATCTGGATTAAATTGAAATTTGAGAGTATAAAGTATGCAAGAGGGAAGATTCACCAACATAATCCTTTCTTGTGACCTTGCTAACTGTAAACGTTCCCTTGTTTCATTGTAATTTACGACATAAGGTCAAGATGTTGTAAAGAAAATTCTAAGAAGAGTATAGGATATTCATGGAAAACAGCAGATTGGATGTGCAATGGCAGCATACCGCCCATTAACGCTGCATTCTCCACATCAGGAATGTGCTCTTCTGTATTACTTAGTACAGTTCTCGATCACCCCCAACCTCTCTAAGTAAACGATAAGTGGGTTGTGGATTGCATGCCGTTATATTGAAATTGAAGATTAGAGTGGGACAGAGGAAATTTTTCTGCAGGCAATTTGAAAAATTTAATGTGTGACTGTTGGATCGAAACTGTGTCAGTTACACAACAATGAAGTACAATTGAATACCACTGACCATGCAGCAGTTTTAATTAGAAAGTTGTTTGAAGCTCAAATAGTTTCCATGTTTGGCCAAATATTAAATAGAGCCTGTATTATATTTTCATCCAATAGGCTTTGAAATCTCCTACATTACTATTTGTGGCCAGTGCCTGGCCAGTCTGAATTTTCTGTGAATCTTTTGGCTAACATATAGTATATAGACATATTCTCTGTAGGAAATATTAAAACAAATTGAAATCACGTTAGATATACACAAGAATGTCATGATCTAAAATTCTGTAGTTAATCAATAATTAAAAGTACTTAAACCAAAGAACATTTTTTATGGTATTCATGGCAATAGAAATGTCATATTAGTGTAATTTTTATACCGAGTTCTCTAGAGCAATGAATGGGCCAATCATCAGTGCAATGACAATTCAACATTGAATTCGTAGCTCTGAAGCGCCTCGTACAGATAAGGCAGGCTATGGACATCTATTTACTTAGGAAACATCTTGGGTCTATGCACCTAATTATAGTCACATGACCGGAACCGTCGCAGGGAGTGAAACGCGTATACTTTTTCTTTGGTGATATATTCTCTTTATAGGTTTTCTAAGTACCGCTTTACATATTTTTCTTTGTCATAATGCTAACTGTGAACGTTTGCCCACCTTCAAGACGTTATACCTGAAATGACTGTAAAATACTGAAAGTAATATTAATATATATATATATATATATATATATATATATAGTCGTTAGTTTTTAATTATAGATCTGTTCATTCCAAACACTAAACTTTTACAACTAAAGTGTGTATATGATTGCTGTCGCTTCCTTTCAGTGCATGAGGGAAGAGATCGGACAGGTAGCAGGGCGACCTCTGCAGCCAGCAAGGCATCGTCCACAGACCATCTCAGTAACCACCTCATGAGAAGAATAATGGAGCTTTTATCATCTGAATCGGTAATGATCTTAATGTGCTACTTTGCTCAGCGTCAACTGTTGCCGGCATCAGTTGCAACACGTTCGTCTTACTCTTGGCGCAGTTCTTCATCCTATTTCTCGATGTCTCTCTGAGGTCATCTCTGTGGTGCACCACATACCTGAGGTAAAGCAGCTCGATATTGCACAGAACTGATTAAAACTCAGTCAAAGGTGTAGCCCTAATTGAATGAGAAATAGTTAATATCCTCACTCGTTTTCTTTTTCAAAAGAAAAGATATAAATATCTGTATTTTCAGGAGTCAGATTAAATTCCAGGACATTTTCGTGCCCGTACACGCTCTGTCTATTAGATAATAATAATAATTATATAAGCTCAATATAACACAGACTACTAACTTATAGTCCAGTTAAAAATTGTGGACCCAATAGCCTGCATCATATATACAGTGTACCTACATCCAGGAAATTCAACATTTAAAAAAAAAATCAATTGCTAGTTGAAAAAAAATCGCATTAATAAGACCGCTGAGTGACAGTACTCATGTAATAGCTAGCTACTACTCATTATATAAGTATGTCTCAAATCACCGGTGCTGTCATCACTGCCACTACCGCCGCCGCCACCGCCACCCACCAATGCCACCCCCCAACTACGACTGTCACCGCCACCGCCATCTAGGTTACAGAGTGTATTCCTAACACCTCGCTTGCTAAATACAGAATAAAAAAGAGTACGAGCAAGAGTATTGTAGGAAATCCTTTCAACAATTTGAGGATGTTTAATCTTTTTTAAAAATATTTTATCATTGCAGAATTTCTTGATGGAGGAAAAACTTGATGAACTTTTATCACCAAGAAGTGAGGAAGAGAAATCTTTAATACGTATGGATTCAATATTTTCGGTACGTGTGAACAGTTGTACAGAAATGTGTACACTATTGTGGTATGATTTCACAAATACATATATAAGCCTATATTTGTTTGTTTGTTTGTATGTGGGTGTTTATGTGAGCACACATGCAAGCCTGTGAATCTGTGCATGCGTGTGCAACTGTGCATATAGCAAGAGAAAAGCTCAATCTCAGGCATGAAAATTTTCCGCGTTTCCACGGATTTCCGCAATTTTTTCCGATCCCAAAATTGTTTCGCGTTTTGCCGTTTTTTAACCGAGTTCACGTGCAGCATTCCGTAATCTACCACGGGCATATATAGCATGCAGGCGCACAGGTTTTAATCGATCCGTGTCTACTGCGTGCTGCAGCAAGCTAGACGGTACCGCGTAGCGCGTAGACGTGTGTGCGTGATGCGTGTGTGCGCGACAGTGTGTTGCGTGGTGTGCGTGAGCGCGTGTGGTGGCACGTGTGTTGCGTGAGCCAGTTGCTTGACGTGGTGGGCGTGCGCGCGTGGTGGTGGCGGTGAGCCGCGTGTGTGGTGTGGCGGCGTGTGTGCGTGAGCGCGTCGTGTGCGACGTTGTGGTGCCGTCAGCGTCGTGTTTGCGTGAGTGCATGTGTGCGACGTTGTGTGTGTGCGTGTGTGCGTGAGCGCGGTATGCGCGACGTGTGTGCGTGAGCGCGTGGTTTTGGCGTGGAGGCGCATGTGGCTTGAGGCGCGTGTGTGTGATGGTGTGCGTGAGCGCGTGTGTGTGTGTGGCGACGTGTGTTGCGTGAGCGCGTTGTATACACGTGTGGTGCGTTAGGAGCGGCGTGTGAGCGACATGTGTGCGCTGTGCAGCGTGTGTGTACGTGAGCGTCGTGTGTGCGACGTGTGTGCGTGAGCGCGGTGTGTGCGTGAGCGCGTGTATGTGCGTGAGCCGGCATATGTGCGACGTGTGTGCCGTGAGCGCAGTTGTGTGCGACGTGTGTGGGCGTGAACGCGTGTGGGTGGGTGACGTGTGTGTGCGTGAGCACGTATGTGCGTGACGCGTGTGGTGCGTGAGTTGCGCTCGTGTGTGCGTGGAAGCGCATTGTGTGCGACGTCGTGTGCGTCTGAGCGCTGTGTGTGCGACGTGTGTGCGTGAGGCGCGTGGTGTGGCGACGTGTGTGCCGTGAGCGCGTGTGTGCGACGGTTTTGTGGTGCTTGAGCGCGTGTTGTGCGCCCCCGTGTGGATGCGTGAAGCGCGTTGTGCTGCGACGTGTGTGGCGTGAGCGCGGTGTGTGCGACGTGTGGCGTGCGAGTGCGTGTGGCGACGTTGTTGCGTGAGCCGCTGTGTGCGACGTGTGTGCGTGAGCCGCGTGTTGGCGTGAGCGCCTGTTGTGCGTGAGCGCGTTTGTGTGCGTGGAGCCGCAAGGTGTTGTGCGATGTGTGCGGAGCGCGGTGTGTGACGTGTGGGTGCGTAAGCGCAGTGTGTGTGGACGTGTGTGCGTGGAGCGCGTTGTGTGGCGACGTGAGCTGTCCATCACGCCTAAGCGGCGGGCAGCGAAAACTTAAAATGGACATGTATAAATTAGTTTTTTTGAACGTTATTATTAGTATACTGTAAGCAAGTCATCTTAGCTCATACACTTTTTTTTCTTTCGCCACTCTCTTTTTTTGGGTGGGTCTTTTGGGTTTTGCCCCGCCCACGCCACTTTTTGCTTGAGGGGCAGCCGCCCCCCCTGCCCCCACTTCCTGCGTCTCTTGATTCGACCGGCCCAAAATTAAAAAATTCTCCCTACGGGAGGGTGACCCGGTCCCCCTCGCCTCGGGTCCCCCCCCCCCGCCGCCTGCGTGAGGTTTTCAGTGTTTTTCTTCACCGGTCATTTTTATGCCTGCTACCTGCAATCAAGCTAACTATTTTACTGCTTTCTCTTCCGAATTTTCCTCTTCCCATGTCTTTTACTGTAAAGTTCAAGAAGTGCACTTCTCGTTCATTAATTTTAAAAGCAAGCACAATATATATTGCTAATAATCGAAAGGCTAGTTGAGCATTTTCTGTCTTGCTTTTAACCTATCTGAAAGAGCCATGGGAAGCTAATACAATGAGCCCATGCATTGTCTTGTATTAGTGTGAGTGTGTACGTGCGTGCTTGCCAAAGAAAAACTTATATGTATAGTTTATATATAGTTGAAAACGGTTGAGTAGAGAAGCAAGCAACACGATTTTTCGAGTCGTTTTTCTTGGCTTCTACAGAATTATTTAATTTCACTGTAGGTACTGGGAGTTGAGAGAGCAGAGGATATTGACAAATTGATGCCTTACTTTATTAAAGACAGTTTTATGCAGGTAAAGACTTTATACATAAGTTAGATTAGCAATTCTGAAGTTTATGTTGACTTTCTCTCACTTACAGAAGAGCTGTGTTTGGGATACATTTCTTGTTTTGTCAACAAAATTACACATTTAGTCGTATCATAGCATGCGTGCACATGCACGATGCACATGCCAGAGTATTTAACAGTTAACACAAACACCAGACGTTACAGCAATATTCTACTAGAACTCATGGGTTATGGGGCTTATCTTTCATTTGCAGTAGGGTGAGGTGGGTTTATTAGAATGAATGATGAATGTTTTATGTTGAATAATATCACGTTAATGTTGTGCTTGCATGTAACTGTGCATGATGTGTTGTAGCCAGATACCGCGACTCCGAGCCCCCAAGGATCAGTTGCTCTAACGCAGCAGTTGGGAATGAGACTGATAGAGCGCAATGATGTTTTAAAGGCACTGCGTAGGTTTGCAGAAGACCACCACAAACCTGTCATGTAAGTGTGACTTGTCTGAGGCTATAGCTGGGGTTCCGTAGTGTTTACTTGTATAATCCAGTCCAAATATTTGCGACGTTACTATGATGTGTACGTACGCTACACAAATAACAAACGTGTTGGTTACGGAAGTCATGCCAGGTGGCAGCTCATTATGTCCAAACCATCCTAATTAGTAGACAGTCCTTGTGCAACTCAGTATCCACCCCGAAAGAAGATACTTACAGGGAAGAATCAAAGTTGCATTGTTTGGCATGCGCGCGCTCACGCTATGTCTGTTCCAGACTTGCATGCTAATTAGTAAAAAAAAGTTTTAGAAAAAATTGTAATGAATCGCATGATGACTCGACCCATAGAACATCCTGAAATAATTGAGCGCGAACTCACTGTCGTCGATGCCAGAGCAGCCTGAACTCTGGATTATTGGATAAAATCACCATTTCTTCAAACGTAATTACCACCACGTGTAAGTGGGGGATACAATGATACGCTCAATCTGTGGCCTGATAATAAAACCATGGGCAATTTTGTTAACCTAAGTCTGGCTTCATAGTTATCATTGTCATGGTAACCAAATACCAAATTTCTTTCGCTACTTGATAAAAACGAATGAAAATAAAAATGGGGTGAGTGTTTCCTTCTAAACAAACACACCTTGAGCCAACCATTTGTGCCAACATGTATCCTAGCTGTGTTATTATATACAATCATTTATGTGTTTAGCATTTATGTAATAAGGGATCTACTGTTATTTGTTAAAAATTATTGACTGTATATAGTAGCACCGGAAGGTAGGATTAACTGGTGCTGAGTAGCGTGAACTTGTGGTACAAGCCACACAATCTTTCAGACAAACTTCTCTTGCTCTGTTGCACTGTTGCAAGCATGGTTGCAAACAAGAGAATAAACCTTTTAACGGCTCTTAAGGGTAACACTCTTATTCAGTGTTCCATATACAAGTCAGTATTTCTTCAGGTTTATTGCTCTACTGATTTCACGTTGTTGTAGGATTGTTTAAAGGCTCAGACCGAATTAACATGTATGCAATTCTTGGTTTTTGACGAGGTATGTTAACATTTTAACAATATTTGTTAAAGCAGTGAAACGTCAGTGTTATAATAATTATAGGGCTGCAAGGTTGAGACTTCGATTTGATAAATTATACGCAAACTCTAAGCAATAAAATTTTAAAGGGTTCAATAGATCATAGGTGAACACAATAGGTACATTATCTCATAATATATGATATCACCGTTGATAGTATTTTTATTACCAGACATTGTAATTACAGAGATATAATGTAAATGCTAATGTGCTGTTGCTTCAGTGGCCAGCAGAAACAGCAGAGCATGAAAATCTCTGCCATGGAAGAGAGAGACGATTCAGGAGACTCCACTTACTGGCAGTCATTCTTGCAACTTATGAATGATAAGAAGGAGAGTGTGTGGAAGGCATTGCTAAGCGGCCTTGATAGCTACAGGTAGCTTTCTTTCCATTGCCTTTCTCTTATTTAAGATGAACGTGTAGTGTGCTGATCCTAAATATGAAGCTGCTTGTGTAAATCCTTAGTCAAGCATGCTGCATTAATTTGCGTGACAAAAACGTTTCATGCAGGGCCAGGGGAAAGGGGGTTTGAGGGCTCCGCATAGTGCTTATTTGGGGAAACTAGATAAGGCCTGGTGAGGAAGGTTGGCAATCCATACAAGCCCTAGAGAAGGGGTTCAGTGTTCTACACTGGACCACGAGAGAGGGAAAGGTGTTTCACACGCGGCCTAGCAAGTGGGGGTTACACGCAGAGCGTGGGGAGGTGGTTCGGCTTGGTTCCACACAGACCCCAGAGTGGCAGCCCCTGTCCACAGCTCAGTATTATCAGTTTATGTGCTCAGTATTTACATGAACACAATTTTATGTGACAATTTCCAAACTACCATCTACTACCCATTAGGAGAAATTGTTCGAAGTGGAAATTAACAGCTTTAGATTTAGTTTGTTTTATGTGTGTTTTGAAATGTTTACAGGCTCGAACAAATATAGCGCTTAGTTTGTCTCTTTCATCACGAAAGATATAATATAGAATATATTCACGAAATATATTCATTGAAACTTGCGTAATATACATATTAGGTTTGATTCAATGCAAAATTTAAGTCCATAAAGTGTGGTAACGTTGGCTTCTATATATATTTGCAGCAATGTGTTGCAAGAAAGGTCCAGCCTGCTAAGTGAGACTCAGTCACTGAGGAGCCAGAATGCAGAGCTCCAGTCTATTCTGCACCATTACATAAATTCCAAGGTACTATTGTGGCAGTAGTTAAAACGAATGTATGCCAAGGTTCTATTGGCATTTGGACGTATTTATTCCTGCGCATTGGAAATTGTTTATGCCTATTGCCATGAACATTATACTCTGTTATAAAAATTATAACCTGGTACCACAGCCTTGCACAGGGCAGATGAGAGGTCACACATGTAACTGGCTACTGACCCTTGCCCAGGGCCTTACTATAGTTTCAACTTATGGTGTTCAACCTGTATGTGTGTGTGTGTGTGTGTGTGCGTGTGCGTGTGCGTGTGCGTGTGCGTGTGCGTGTGCGTGTGCGTGTGTGTACATATAGACTGGCCTCTTATACCACCAGATTCCCGTGCCTATACAAAAATCAGATAATCAATGATTACCAACCTGTTGTCAGATTCAAAAATATAATAATTATGCATAAAATGTTTTCAACACCTATCAAATATCTATTATTGAAGAATATAATTATTTGTGACCCCCCTCAACCACCCATACGGTCTATCAAGGGTATGCACGGGTGTGGTCGGCATGTGAAAGGTATCACTATATATATATATATATAATCAAGAGCTAATAATACTTTAACCTGCTTGATATAATGTAATGTAATATATAATAATGAAGCAAAGCATTTTTAGCTAAGCAGGGTGAACGGCTATATATGAGTCATCTGTGACATCACAATAGAGTTTTTATAGTTTATATAGTTTTTATATGATAATAAAATGTTCATACTTTTTCCACAACTTTAAGGGACAGTAGCCTCTAGGATTGTACTGCATACAACTGTACTTACTGTATAACAAATCGTCTATACCCACACGTATTTGTTACCAAATACCTAATTTAATTGTTATAATTATTTACACATCAACGCTACGAAATTTGAACGGCGCCATGACACCTGCGACCGTGCTGCCACCCCCAAAAAGTTGTGTATTTGACAATTTATTTTGCAGGTTACAGACCGAGGGCTAATCACAAAAGTGCAATTATATTTATACCTAAATGCTATTTAACCGAACGATATTCATTTTAGGGCAAATTTATCCATATTATAACTGAAACTTATTTATAAGATTTCCTATTTCTTATGTATTATTGTAAATAAGAAATTTATCTATCTCTATCTCTCTTTGGTTGGAAGTGGTTTTGTATATCTTATTCATTGATCGTGCGATGTGAGTTAGGGCGCACTGGTTCGTTGTAATCAATATGTAGCGGTTAGGTTTAAAAACATTTTTTAATGTTCTAATGGGTGATTTTTGAACATGAAACTTTTTATGTAGCTAATTATAACGCGTTATAATTAGCTGAAAATAACCCTAGAACCTAGGGCAGTAACACTCCTCCCTTAGAGAATGGGAATTGGATACAAATTACTAGAAATTAATTTATTTATTTATTCTATTTAGCGTTTCCACAAAGCCTTCTCTGTGAATATTATTATATTATATCTTTATACCTGTTATATACATCACCGTATGGGAGGCCTGCCATAAGGAAAATTGCACTTTTGTCCTTATTTTCTTCTTCTTTTCATTCTTTTTATTAATGCTTATGAAGTCTATGAAAGGGAAAAAAAATTGTTATGAAATTTGAACGTGAAAAGAAAAAAAAGCAAATGCAAAGAAAAAATATTAATATTTATATTTCAAATGATAAAAGTCATATTATCATAATCAAAATCAACTTTTCAAAACTAAGGAATCAAATCAAATCAAAATGAATTCAAATAAAATAAAATTTAAAATAAAATAAAATTATATTATATTTATATATTATTAAAATAAAATAGAAATAATTACTAAATCGAAATGTTTTTCACAGTGCCTTAATCGCTGCATATCCCAGGAATGCATTGCGCTTACTCTTCAGACCAGCTGTGTCTGTGCTTATCACGGAGTGCTGGGTATTTTTGATAAGGCTTTCGCCGGAGCTTAAGAATTTCTCGACTACCCAGGAGGTTCTGTCGCACGAACGTTGGCTCGGTGCAAGCGTTGGTAGTCTTTGCGACCGGTGTAGAGTTGAAGGGAGTGTGGAGAAGAGGGGAGGTGGAACAGCTCTGGTCTGTGAGCGCGTCTGTACTGCGGGCGGCAGGAGTGTCGGGAAGAGCGCTGCGGCTAGGCTGCTGGTCGCTGTGGAGTGGTTCAACCCCGAGTGCACCGGTGATGTGAACCTTGAAGATCCCGGGGTATCTGTGTTCGCGTAGGGCTTGGAGAATAACATGGATGGCGTCCCGTTCTCCGCGCGGGGGGGAGGAACATCGCGATACACGATGTTGGGTAAGCGAAATTGAGTTTCGTGTGTGTGATGTCAAAGATGCGCGGTTGATGGAGTGCACTCTGTGATCGTTGTCTACTGTGGAATTCTCCAGGATTCGGGAAGGCGCACATATATTGCGTCGCTGTGGCAGCTACTCTCGTAGCGAGTACTGTCTGTGCCTTTCGCAGAAGAGCTTGTATGCGCTCGTAGGTAGTGCGACGGACTATGGCGCGCGAGGGCTCCGGGTGTCGCCGTTCGTGGCATCAGACTTTAGGCCTCCGTGTCTCCTTTCGCTGCTTTGCGTTTCTTGTACGTTTGTCGTCGCCTTTTGATATCTTGTCTGGTGAGAGTTTATTCCATTTGTGGTGTTGGCCGATCGTGAAAGAGCTTCCAGAAGGCAAAAAAACCGACACCTGCCACTCAACCAAGGGAAGAGGAGAGGCGGATTGGCTGTGGCGCGTTTGCAGTCTCGACGGGCCGCCTATATCGTATGGACGCAATAATCAGCTGACAAGCGGTCTGGGCTGCAGGGCACCGAGAGCCGCAGGAGGACGATGAGAACGACGATAGAGTCGTGGTTGCTAGGGTCGTTCTGGGCCGGGAACGCCAATGGTTGGGTGCCATGATTATGCGGTGGTCCGCAAGGGCCGGGCGGCTGTCCTCTGCCTTGTGTATATTTAGCGTGCATTGGCGCTCAGACAACCTCGAAAGCGCACGCGACAGCGGTGTGTGTGTCAGCTGTTGTGCCGTGGCAGCTGTGTCAGGAGTAAATCAGAGCATGTAAGCAAAGGTTTGGTGTGAAGTGGCGATTGGTGGCTATGGGCGAAGGCGAGTAGGGCCACGTGGGGAGAAACATTCAGATTGTTGGGTTTTAATTTATTTCATTTTCGGATGTTGTGATTTTATTTGAAAGAATTGTATTAGTTTGAGTTTGTGAGTTTTGATGTTGATAATTAATGTTGTTGATTGGGAGTTCTTAGGTTGGAAAGTTGCGTTTTGATTTGGAAAAAAGGAAACAAAAAAGGTGCAATTTTCCTTATGGCAGTCCAAACTGCATGCAGTGCACCTTCGTACACTCAGGATACCACTGCCACAATGCTAGCACTATTTTTAAAGTTGGCGGAGCTCTGGGGAAATCCAGCGAATGGAGATTCGTAAACAGCGCATGATTTGAAAGTAGTAAATGGGCGCACAATACGCGCACTATTTCGTATCACTATTTTATCAAATTGCAACTTGCATCTTTTATTAGTCCAAATCTTATTACATAGGATACGAGTAACGTGGTTGCTGTAAAACTTGTAGTAAAAAAGTGTTACAAATTGTAACGGAAATCTGCTTGTGGCAGTGGTAGATTTAGCCCATGAGCGAGAGCGCCATCTGTCGTGGAGTTTGATGGCAGTCCTAGGCCACGGTAGTGCATTGTGGGCTATGGCAGCGATAGGCCACTATAAAAAAAATTTCAATTTTGTTTTAATTTATTTTCATTTTATTTTATTTGAAATTCATTTATTAATTAATTTTTATTTGAAATTCATTTTGATTTGATTTGATTCTTAGTTAAAAGTCGTTTTGATTTTTAAAAAAAAGAAAGAAAAAATTTGCAATTTTTCTTATGGCAGTCCTAGGCCACGGTACATCACAGTTCCCTTGTTCGAATCTCCTTATCACTTATACTTACTTTCTAACTCTCTCGAAAGATTTCACGTGTAGGCCTATACGTGCAGTGTTATGGTCAAACTACTCCAAATAAAAATATAGCTAATTTATGGTCCTAGAAATATGACCATTATGTGCTAGTTTTGAAATCATACCAGCATGGTACGTCTGTGTTCAAGAAAATACAATAGAGGCTATGCTAGTCGTTCTTTTGCTATTTTCATGCAGATTACAGTTGTACCTAAAGCTTGTATGGACCGTCCTCTGTTTACGCTACTACTTTACTACTGGCACTTTACTACTAAATGTAAAGAAGCTGCAATACTGAACAATTTTGGCAAAAACAGTACTCTGTTACAGTTATGAAGACAGTCAGAATTTGGTTTTTATAAGAAATGCTATGAGTTGGGTCAGGCTCTAAAAATTTCATTGTCATCAACAAATTTGCACATCAGCACATTGTTTTTTTTGTATTTAAAAAAATTATTCGAATATAATCAAGTCACCTATGACCACTAATTATGCATGTTTACGTACATGTTTTTCTGCCTCGTGAACAATGGGGGTATGTATAGCCTATTGTTGATAAAAATCGTTTAAGAAAATAGCAGCACGCAACATGTTGTGAGTTTATTTGGTTCCGTTCAACTGGAGGTCGTGGTCACGAGTTACGTGACTAGCTGCCAGTCACGCAACTTAATCTTGCAATATTCATAGTCAAGAGCTGCTACAACAGCGGCCGAAGTGGTAAACATGATGCGCTACTCCTGTGTAACATACAGACATGATTCATGGAGTGAAACACAATATGTGTATTCTTGTTTTATCACTGCTAGCCCATTTTATTTCAATGAGCATCCACATTCAAAGTAGTTTGTATAGCTACAAGTATCACAGTATCATCATGGGTTAATGATAACAAATTTGTCATTATTAACCCCTGGTATTATCAATGTAGTTCTATCCGTTTGGTGAGGCTTATTGCTCTGTGACACTAATCAAAATTTTAAGATCAAATGTCGTTATTCAAGTTTAACTATGCAAACTCGGATGGGATTAATCAGTCACATATTATAAGAGGTGCTATAATTGCTAGCTATCACGAGTAGAAGGAAGAGTTAAGGAAGTAGAGTCAATAGATATTCCTCTTACTCCAAACAGCGCTGAATGGCGTGTAACAACTACATACTTTAGTGTAGTGATTCATGCCTCTCATTGTGCGATGGAATATGCTTACTACGCTGAATGCGAGTGGCTCAACTCTGGATTGTGATTATGCGTAGAAGAAACGATTAGAGATAAGTTGAGGTCATTGAATGTTTAACGTTACATTTAGGTTTATGAGCGTTGACTTATTCTCAATAAACCCTAGATAGACCCTGGTCACTTGGCTTGTTACACTGCTCACACAGCCCACTCTAGTGATAGTATTATTTGCTCTTGATTTTAAATACAGCAAAACACTTATTGCTTGGTTGTGAGGGAAACATGGAGTTTTCTGCACTGAGAAAATCATTGTTGCCTGAGAACCCAGTTAGCCCCACAAGACTACACGTTTCCAACGAAACCCTGTAATAATTAATTGCTTAACGAGTGCGTGCGCGCGCGCGTATGTGTTTGCGTGCGTGCGCGCGTATGTGTTTGCGTGCGGGCGTACGTGTGTCTGCCCGTGTGTGCATGTGTGTATGTGCGCGTTTGCGTGCGTGCGTGCGTGCATGTGTATATGTGCGTGTACGCGTGCATGTTTGTGTGCGCCTGTGGGTGCGTGTGTGCATGAGTAGGTACGTGTGGTAAATATACATATTACGTATTATACATAATTAATGTTTATTGCTGTTGTTAACTTTCTGTGAATGATCTGTCTGTTATAGGTGAATGAAGATTTAGTGATACCACCTACCAAAGTTCTACAAGTGATATCGTCCAACAACAACCTAACATCAAGACACAACTAGGCTAATGGCAAGTTATCCTCATCTAGTGGATTAGAAGATAACTTTTGGCACTTTCACATGGTATAAACATCTGCACGTATTAATGTATAATAAGGATGTTGATCCGGATACATCTACTGGGCAAGTTTTGTATTAAACATATATCACAACATTACTTAGCCAATTATCAAGTTTTTCTGCCTCATATAATATTTTTTGAAATATATTAATATTGCGACTGCACCACTCAACATGGGTTTCGGTTAACCATCTGGTTAATTTGGTTACATACCATGCAGTTACTCTACTCTTCAATGATAATGACGAATCACTAAAATCCAATGTTTAAAAATTGATTATAGAAAAGTTTGTTGATTATGAACGAGGAAATTGTTTATTTGTGCTGCTGCTCTGGATGTTGACTAAGATGTGCCTTTGAATTTTATTTTCACATGTTAAAGACGTATGTAATTCACATGTGTAAACTTGCAATCAGTGTATGTAAAAACTGTATCATAAATATAAGAATAGTTCTCCTTAAACTAATATATGTAATCCTTTGTCATTTAAATTATTTAAAAGTTATTTTGACCTATTATTAACAAGTTAGGAGAATGAAGTAAAATAAGCAGTGGTTGCGATCAGCTCAAGAGGAGGAAGCAAGTAATTAATAGCATCAGCATGTAATATAGATCAATATCAGCACACATTCAGCACATTTTTATTATTCTTTTTTTCAAATTGAGGCTCACGATGAGGGGCAGCACCTGCAGGGGCATGAAACTAGATAAATATCTAGTTTCATGTTCCTGATTATACCATACGTAGCAGTTAAATACCAAAAGTTGCAACTGGACCCCGCGCATTTAATTTGCTTAGATCGTCGACACTCGATGGTGGTTTTGGAACTAAAATTTTTGGGGTGAATTTCTTCATTTTCCCCTCTCCAGGAGTTTACTCAATACTACCCTGTATGCGTGGATATCTTTTGTGTCGGTATCTTATTATATCTATGACGCAGGTCCTATGTAATTTCTTGGCGACATCTAGTCATATATGTGTAAATAGATTACTTCACTGCGAGTTATTGTTTCCTAATAGCAGCTCATATTCCGAATTAAAAATGTGAGCGTTCTATTTAGCTTATCTGATGGTGTTCTTCAGACGTTTCATCTGAATATTTGGTTTAGTTTAAACCACATATTTACATGCTACGTTTATATAGAGTAGATGAGTTGAGATATCAGCTTTAAACATCAATTTCAACCCACACCCATCATTCTTTAACTTCTCTATATAGTAATATTAAATTGTATGATGCTCACAATAAATTAAGGCTATCACCAAGAGATAGAGACATATAGTTACATTAACTTTCCACACATTGAAGGTTGAGTACGGATTTGCTACCAAACCTTTGTGTTTAAAATTCCTACTCAACTGTCGCCTTTACACCTTCGTGAAACCCTGCTGAAGCACAGCTTTTGTCATGTATATTTTTCCGAAATTTATTTCCATAGCTACAAATACCCCATTTTTTATGTGATTTCTAGACTTGGTGTACGTGTTGCAAACTTGCACAACGTGTTGCAAATTATTAAATTTTCAGATTGTGTATTGTAAAGGTAAAACACTAACTATTAATATAGCTATACTTAATATGCATTAGCCTTTTATTAGCTGTACTCGTATTTTCACACTTCTGCGATGAGTTAAGATAAATGGGCCTATTCAGTTACTGCCAGAGCAGTTTATTGTGCGGTGTTTGCATGTGCATTTTACAATAAAGTAGTTTGTTATCCCACGTTCGTTATACACGTGATCATTGTTATTTGACATTTATTGGCTGTGTCCACTGTCTACGGGTGGCGGCGATATGCAGTGTTCCATGAAGGGTATTTCTTTCATGATGTAGGCTGTAGCATAATATGTAGTGTGTACGTATATCAGGGTTGTAGCAAGAGGGCGGGTGGGGACGGTTATATGGATGGGGATATAATATGTAGCGGGATGCTGCGAGCAAAGTGAATTTTGTAGAACGGATTTGACCATGCACTCGTGCCGCGGGGCCGCCTCTGTCCAGTTTGAGCGTATGAGATCGGCCGAATAAAATTATCCTGGCTGTCAACGACGACCGACGTTACGAGCGCCATTCCTACGTACATTAGCAAAGCTGGAGGTATGTGGTGGGAATTAAAATGAATTTGTAATGTTTTGTATAAATGTTGGTTTACTGCGCCAAAAAAAACTTACAGAACTTGAGCCAAACCCGGCAATCAAATAACGTGTATTTAGCTATTCTAAATAATGTTAATGTTCTACATATATTTTTTTTCAGGAATAATTCTTCTGCGCCAAAATGATATTTTTTATGAGATTCTGCCATCGCATTACATTTTATACGTAGTATTATTCATTTTTACCATTTTTTCCAAATTTACTCGTAATTTACTATTATTATGAATTAAACATCAAATACTATGGCTATGCTAGCGTACACCTTAAAATGCATCTACAGAGTTGCAGATCAGTTTATTAGACGTTGGTTGCAATTAAACATAGACAGTATAGTTTCAAGTAATTTCTTGGTAATTTATTTCTTCGCATAAACTTCGATCTCGCCAGATTATGGCGGGAATTAAAATGAATTTGTAATGTTTTGTATAAATGTTGGTTTACTGCGCGTCTGCGCCTAAAAAGCTTTAACTTCGATCTCGCCAGATTATGGTATTTTTGTCTCCTACGCCGGCGCCGCCTATCTCCGCGACAGGAATCCCATTTTCTGACTAATGTTCGCCTCCTTATCGGCCAACTTCTTCATTGGTGACGCAGCCACGAGATCACGTGATCGGAGGTGTAAGGAAATTTAAGCTCTTACACCACTGATCTCTATAATAATAATAATAATAATAAGTTATTATAGAGATCAGTGTCTTATACGCTATTGGTGATAAACCCGAGCGAACGGGGAAGAAGAACGGATTCGTCCGAAGTTAGCCGAATGCGGTACCGGAGACAAAAATCACCAAGACTGTTGATCAAAGATTTTCTGTGGACGTAAAATCGCTGCCGGTCTGTTGCGCTCTCTAATAAGTGGTGCCAACTATGAACCTGGAAGGGGGACTGCCTTCTGGGTGCTCGAAAGGCGATCGTGGACGAACGATAGCAGTCCTGCCTCCGAACCAGTCGGAGCTTGGTGGCGGAATATTTCCACTCTGATCACGGGGCGCAAATCTTCCTGTACGTGTAGGAATTACATCGGTTATACGCGCCACGGAAGCTCTACGGGTCTTTATGATACCAATACGCATTCACCTAACTACAAACGTTAGTTACGTATTCATTCACGCTTTATCGGCATAAAATGAAGCTAGGAATGCTGATAATGATCTCACGCCCACCCGATCAAATGTTATGACGTTGGCACCTACCGGCGTTGATGAAGAAATCACGACCTGGAAGGCTAACGCCATCGTCGTTGTCAATAAATCCTTCTCCTCGGTTCCTGTAGTCGATGTCGCGTCTAAGGTCGGCTGCTAATTCTCCATCCTGTAGGGCCAGGCGCCTCGCATACCTGAAGATGGGAGACAGAAATGATCAGAATTATCTCATATAAAGCTTGTTATAATTCATGTTCTTGATGTCTCGTTTCGACCTTAGCATCATTTTTACCAGTTTCAAGTTGACAATATTAACAGGTTTGCCTTTGTTCTCGTATAGCTTCTCTATTGTAAATATAAAATTTCAGATACCGCAATTGAGGATTCTGGCGATTGCCATTAATCATTACATGGTCAATACCCCAGATGTTATGCAGAGTGGAATAGTAGCTGTCAATCAAGCGTTATAAATAACGTATGAACCTGCGTGAAATATAATCATAACTTTGGTTCGGTACGGTGGTTTTTCATCTCACACAAATTTAAATGTATACCTACGAAAACATTCCAGAGCCAGATATACAATATACGCGTTACCTATTTGTTAGGCTTTCGAAGCTAACTTTCGGCTTATGCGTTAGCCCCTACACCCTAACCCTAACCCTAACACTAACCCTAACCCTAACACTAACCCTAACACTAACCCTAACACTAACCCTAAACCTAACCCAACCCCAGATGTTATGCAGAGTGGAATAGTAGCTGTTAATCAAGAGTTATAAATAAATAACGTATGAACCTGCGTGAAATATAATCATAACTTTGGTTCGGTACGGTGGTTTTTCATCTCACACAAATTTAAATGTATACCTACGAAAACATTCCAGAGCCAGATATACAATATACGCGTTACCTATTTGTTAGGCTTTCGAAGCTAACTTTCGGCTTGAAAGAAATTACATATTATCTCACATGAGGCGTCACAAAACCTAGAATGTTGGTCTATTGTTTGTGTACCTTTCGATAGAGCTAAAAACTAAACAGATTTAGGCACGAAAATGCCGGAAACCAACCTGCATTGCTCTGCAATTCATATTTAAGAAGTCATATTATTACAGCTTAAAATAGATCCTCTTCTTTGGTTGAGTCTAAAAATCGCTGTTTGCCAGATAATAAGCTTTTATATTAATCTAGTAACCTATATAGGAGCTGCGAAATCCCAATACAGTAGTTATATTAGTAATTTTAACTAATTTTAGTAGTGTTGAAGACGACTAGGACTCAGCGTAGAGAATAATTTGGAGAGGAATTGGGGAAAAACAATATTAATGATTAAATTTTATCATGTGTCCACTTTCGCCTTACATTACGGAGTCTTTTATTAGAACCAATGATCGTATGAGATCAACTACTGTATGCGCTGTATATTTCGCGGTGGTTTAATTTTCGCGAATTTCGCTAACGCGTCCCCGACCGCGAAAATAACAACACGCCGTTCTTCACTGATTCGGGAAATCACCGACCGCGAAATTGACCGTCAGGTCTGAATTCGCGCAAATATCTGTACGCGAAAAATATGGCGTATGCAGTACGTTATTTGTTAGAGCTTACAGGCCCGAATTGTCGCCGTTGGTGTCGATCACGTGGTCGCCTCTCTCCAGATCCCTGAATGCCTGCCCGGAGATGGGGTTTGCGTACTCAACTTTTCGGTCAAGCTTGCGGATGCTAGGTCCATTGACGTCATCGTGACGTAACTGACGATTGAAAGTGTCGTGTGTGATATCGTCATCCGTATCGTCGTAGTTAGAAATTGTTTCGAGAGACCTGCAATGTGTCTACATACATACATGCGCCGTGACTGCGACACGAAAGTGTGTGCGTTGTGTGCGTATGTTCGTGCATGCGTGCGTGCGTGCGTGCGTGTTTCTGCGTGTGCGTACGTACGTCCGTGCGTGTTTGAGTGAGTGATAAGGTGCGCGTGTGAGTGTTTGCGTGTGTGCGTCCGTGTGTGCGTGTGCTGGCGTGTACGTGTGCGGGCGTGTGCGTGCGAGCGCGCGCGCGCGCGTGTATATGTGTGATTGACACGTCCTGCTCTTGCTGTTTTCGGTTTCATTGACAGTCTTATATCGCGACGCAGGCACCAACCTAAAGCGCTGCTCATTCGGGATGTCGTAGGAGATCTCTCGATTGCGCAGGTTAAGCCGCTCGTCGGCGTCGGCTAGCCTAGCTCCGATCGTATCCGACCTGTAAGCAGCTGCCGGGTGATCTAGGATGAATCGTGGCAGGCCGTTACTACGTCGATCGGCTGGCGGCATCGCAAATATCGCCTATAATAAAGAGTTAACAACGGTTAGTACGCCCTTTGCGTTGTCATGTTATTCCGCCGTTTATTACTACATTATAACACATTGTTTCTGAACTGTGCGCACGCGTGCACGTACATGTGAGAAGACGCACATGTGTATACGTAGAAACACCGGTGCTAGTTTTATGAAACGTGCGTAAGCTTCCGTATACGCGCGCACAACCTCTACGAATGCCTCATCTTCGTTATGTGAGATCGATTCGTGAGCAAATTCGTATAGGCACGTGGATGACCAATTTCGTATAAATGAGTTTGTAGCAGCAGGAGCGAAAAACTGCGAAATTCTCTTCACAAAAGTTTAATTGTTGTAAATTATCACAACCATGCATTGCTGTCATGTAAACTGGGATTATGGAACCATAATGCGGTTCGCAGTGACAATACGGAGACCGTATGAGAGCACATTTTGTTAACGCAAATGGTTATTGTTAGTTGCTGTAAAACTAAAGAGATGGTTCCATCAACTCTGCACGCAACTGAAGCGGTCAGTGCAGGGCCGTAGGCTGAGCAATTTCCTAGAGGGGGGGGGGCAGTGGCGGATCCAGGATTTCAAAGAGGGGGTGAGAAACAGGTGGGGGTCTGGGGATCCTCCCACAGAAAATTTTGTAAATGTAGATCGAAAATTGGAGATGGAGATGGTATTTGACGCACTTTTGAGTACATGTACAGCCTTGTTTCTGGCTACGACAATTCTCCTTTAGTAGAACAATTAATTTTTTTAATTTTGCTCCAAAATCTATGGAGCAGCTGCCCCCCCCCCGCAGGCTACAGCCTTGGCAGTAAGTGAATCGCATCTATGATACTTTGTTTGATTGTGCATTATATTAGTGGAGCGACCGGGGCCAAAAAAGGGCCTTATTTAAGGAGTTACCCCTCCCCAATTTAGAACAAGGCAAATAAGGTATCGTTGGATTCGTTAGGATGTCTGCTTTATGAAAAACAATGTTTTACAGTCAGATCTACAGATTACAGTCTAATTAAAACATTGCCATTTAACCCCTTGTTTGCTAAAACGCATAAAAATGGGTGAATTTTGGAATATCTTCATAATTGTTATTTTGGCAGTGGGAAGAGAGCGCGCGAGGGGGGGGGACGCTTACGCAGGAGAGGGAGAGTGTGGGAGGGATCTAATTTGATGTTTATAACGGTTATTTTACTTGCAATGATATGGAGGTAAAGATACATCATTGGCACCAACATTATAGGAAGAGTTGATTAACCTATGATGACAATCAGTTACAATTAACGTGCTCCCGCCAGCTCTAAAGTTGACAGAGAATTCCGCAGGACGCGCAAGTATGTTTTACGCCATTCATGAGATGTACACACGCATTTCTAGTAAATATAGTTTCCCGCTCTGTTCTTCTCGCTATAGCTACTCGCCTTCATTACTCTATTCAAGTCACAGAGGAATGTAATATAGCTCACCGAAACACACATGAGCGCTCCTACAAGGATCTTCATCTTGTCGACCTGTAATACACAAAAAATGCAGCAATTCTACGTTATATTACATTAGAATTTTACACTACGTTTTTACTATAAATTCGTATCAAGCCGTTAACGTAAACGAGAACACGACATGTAAGTATGTATATTTCAAGCGCATTTAAGCCAGAAAACTTACCGATTTAAGCTGCAATAAATCTTTATTAATGCGATGAATTTTCACTCAAAAGTTGTAATGTGGTGTCAACATAGAAGCTGGCATCTTATATATCAATCCCGACTGCAGCTGACCGATTTCTTTTTTCAGTAGTTTAGTGCAAGGACATCCTTGAAAATAGCGTGTAGATGTTCGTGATTGAAAACGCATGCTCGTACGTATAAGAAAACTGGCTCGCGTGTCTTACAATGTCTCTAGCAAGATAAGGGCAACCATTGTTTGAATTTAGAACGTGTTGCGAGTTCTACCATTTGATGCTCTCTGTCACCCCATGAATCGAAATCTCGCGTGTTAATAAATTGCGATCTTGAACAACGTCGGGGTTGATAAATTTCCGTTGAATTTTTGCTCACTGTGGTAGACGCGTGATCACACCATAATTGAACATTTTCAATTATATATATACCATATTCCTACGATAATTATCAGAAACAAACTAAAAAACGGTGACTGACATTGAACGCATAGATGCATGAGTACCAAGAACTGACAGATCTAAAAGGTGCCGGTTTAATTAGACGCATAAAAACTTCACCTTCTGCTTCATTATACATCCAGGGCCGTAGGCTGAGCAAATTCCTAGGTGGGCGGGGCAGTGGCAGATCCAGGATTTAAAGGAGGGGTAAGAAACAGGTGGGGGTCTGGGGGTACTCCTGCAGAACATTTTTAAAATGTAGATAGCAGGAGATGGTATTTAAGGCACTTTTCAGTACATGTACAGCCTTCATTCTGACTACGACAATTCTCCTTTAGTAGAACAATTTATTTTTTAAATGCCCCCCCCCCCTGCAGGCTACGGCCCTGACATCAGTAATTATAAACCATGCATGTCACCCGCGGAGCAGCTGCGATGCGTGCCGATGATCACACGCCGATGTCGTTCCTTTATGGGAAAGAAAAAAACGAATAAAATTTACCATAACAATTCCATTCCCATTGTAGCATGGTCAATCCACGTGACGTCGATGAAATGCAACTTCATATAGCGCTTGTGTGCATGCGTGCGTGCGTGCGTGTGTGTAATGAACTAAAGTTACGAATAAGGTATTCGTGTGCAGAACCGTCGGGAAAGGATGCTCGACTGGGCGAAAGAGTACTGAGTACTCAGGGAACACGTTCTGTGGGAAATAAAAAAGGGACACGTTCGTGTTATCCTTCATGATAACATGGTAATATCACCGTGTGACCATCGGTGTTCAGCAGCGGGTGCATGACGTAGTTACATGGTTTATAGGAAGAATATGAAGAATATTATATATGTATGTGTATATAATTATACCAAAAGCGTATAAAGAAGGAGAGCGTACAACGGTGAAAAGCTGAAACCATGTTGCAGTATTAGTCGAATTAATAAACTTTCCCCGTTTTATTTTGACGATTCTTTGCAGTATTATTGATCAGCTGTCCTACCTTGTTAATATAAAACAAACAGCATGTCCCTACGCTGAGATAATGAGCGGTGAAAATCTGGTATTTTTGCCGAAAACCGACTCGAGATCAGTGTTTACTGCGACTGTCTCTCGCTTTGAGATAACTTCGGGAAACCTCGCGTGTTTCCGTCAATGATTGACAAATGGAATGAATGACGTCTGTTATTGATTGCCATAGTGATGACCCCCACCTGTGCCCACCTCACGCTGGATGTATAGCAGGAGGTATAGTAATCTCTGTAGTACTGACGTGAGTGAGCGCTACCACGGCGCTACACATAACAGCGGCGACCGGAAACAATACACTGGCCACAAAGCGAGAGACAGTCGCAGTAAACACTGATCTCGAGTCGGTTTTCGGCGAAAATACCCGATTTTCACCGCTCATTATCTCAGCGTAGGAGCATCGTAGGGACAAGCGGTTTGTTTTATATTAACAAGGTAGGACAGCTGATCAATACTTCAAAGAATCGTCAAAATAAAACGGGCAAAGTTTCTTAATTCGACTAATACTGCAACATGGTTTCACCATTTCACCGTTGTACGCTGACTACGCTCTCCATCTTTATACGCTCTTGATATATAGTATATATATATATATATACAAAAACACTCACACACACACTACACGCACGCGCGCGCGCACACACACACGCACGCACGCACGCACGCACGCACGCACGCACGCACGCACGCACGCACG